AGTAGCAGTAGTAGCAGTAGTAGCTGTAGTAGTAGTAGTAGTAGTAGTAGTAGCAGTGGTAGTAGGTAGTAATCGTCGTCGTCGTCGTCATAACTCAGACTATAATTGGACTATAATTCTTATTGCTATCGTTTTAGTAGTACGAGTATAGTCTTATTGCGCCCTCCTTCTGAGGCCTTAGGTGTCGCGCAGGGCTTTGCGAGCCGATTGTGAGAAGAACCGCCTCGGCGTACAGCTAGAAGAAGTAATGCAGAAGTAGGTTGTTTCGGGCCTTGTTCGGGTCTTGGAATATGGGGCCCCGGGTTTAGGGGCGGTTTAGGGTTCCGGGATATTGCCTCAGTCTTATTGTAGGCCATCATGAGTTAAGCAGTGTGTTGCTGTGTGGCCCTTGCGGACTACTTCCAGAGATGACGTCCAAAGGTCTGCTTGCCTGTTTCAGTCCTTCCTGAAGGGAACCTTTGTTGGATCATATGAAGAAGGCAACGTGTGTGTCTTGCTCGAATCTGCTGGTCCAAGTAAGTACTCGAACCAATGTGCTCAAGCCTCTTCTCTCACACACCTCCACACATGCAAAGGTACAACAATCAGACTTCTTGCTAGCTTGCAGTCCAGCAGCCGGGCGTCTGCACTGCTCCTCCAAATTCAGCGACTCTGGGATTCAACTACAGTTTAGGCTTCCCCCAGTTTAGTGGCATTCGGGCTCCTCCGCTGCTTCTTGCCGCTGCCGGTGTTTGACCCCTCGGATAACGCAGCTCAGTCCAGCTGAAATGGGTATGCACTTGCCGAAATGCAGCATGGGCTGCAAATCGTCTCTGCTGCGGAATCTTGAAAACACATGACCTCCCGAATTCCATCCAAGTTACAGAGATAGATGGGCTTGGGCACCCTGGGCAGGCCAATCACAAGCAGCTGGCACTCAACAACAATTCAGCTTCACAACCAGGTGCAGATCCGGGTCGCAACATAACCGGAACTGCGAGAAGGCAGGTCACCATCAATACTCGGGAGATCGCCTGCAGGCGTGTTCTCGACATGACACAGCATGGTGCAAGTAGTCGGGCCCTCCTCGTGGAACATGCCGTTTGGATCATCGGCGAAAGATGCCATGGCAATCATGGAGTTGATGATGCTCGGCGCTGGGTCCATCGGGGTGACCCACTTGTACAAGATCATATAGTCCATGTAGCCGAACAGCCCTTGCCGAGCGAAACAACTGCCGGCTAAACTGGAGCAAAGCAACGAAGCAACACCACCGCCTGGTAACAGGCTTTTCTATTCATAACTGCCTCAATGGTGATATTGGTGATGATGGTTTCGTCACGCTTTCACTACATTCCACTACATGTGTGCACCCAAAGCTCCGAGCATGAAGAGGATCATCGGCAGACACTCGCAAAGGAGGTCCAGCTTGCAGCCCTGGTAGATGGCATTACCCGTTCGCAGCAGCAAGCCGGCCATCATCTGTGCCACACCGAGAAGCACCGAAATCTTCATCTTCAGCGAGTTCATGTACACCAACTCATTCCTCGAAGCCCACTACCCCTTTGGACTAGAAAACTGCTACAAACAGGCATAGGTTCTGCGATTGCTCTCCCTATTTCCATGTTCTTGCTCTTCCTTTTGGAGAGCCGCGCCCCGAAAGAACCCGTGCCAAACCATTTGGATGGAGCGTCTGCGCCCCATGCCAGGCAGGATCCACTCCAAAAGGGTACGGTCCTCTGCCTCCCGTGTTCCGGGTGTCGTAAAGCGGCTCCAGCTTCTGCTCTGCTCCTGGCCTGAGGGTGAGAATCATTTGGGTAGTACCATTCAAGGGGGACACCCTAAAGCATTGCTGAGAGGGTTCTATATCCCCAAGGGTCCCCTGAAAGCGAACTCCCGGAATCGCGGTGTGATTTTGGGGCCTCGGGTTTCAGGGCTAAGGGCTTCAAGGGCTTGTGATATGTTTGTTGCCGTGGCAGCATGCACCACGGTAGTCCGCACACTGTTTTGCAAACACAGCTTCCGAGCTAGGACCTAGGAGGACATTCCTATTCAAACTGTGGCGCTGGGGAATTGTCTTTGTGCATAACTCCGGATAATCTTGTTCAGTTGTTGTGCAACTCAGAGAAAAAGACCAGGTTGTGGAAAGAACCGTTCTGTGGCAAACGAAGAATCTCACGACCTCCTCCGGCATTTCATGCTTGGGAGCTACAAGTACATCCGGTGGTTTACGAGGGTGTCCAGCCTGAGAGTGAACCTCGGAGTTGGGGATAAAGATGTAGCTTTTAAGACAATGCGATGCTTCAGGTGCTTAGTGGTCGATGCTGGAGCTTCGAATCCATAAGTGAGGCAAGGGACCAAAGCCGAATAGACAAATTTTACCTCGAATCGATCCTTTGTGGCTTGTTGCAGGCGTCTTCGCTACGCCTGCCGTGTGGGAGAACGCTGTTTCAAAAGCCTTGGTCCCTGTCACGACATCCTAGCCGTTTGTGGTACCCAGGCTTGTAGGACTCACATGATGCAGGCTCCCAACCGGCTGAGCCTCCCCTCCGGCATCGACCAGCGAGATGGGAAGAAGCACAAGCCGACGCTGAAGAAATCATTGTATAGTAGACCTGAGAGAGAACTTTTGACCTCTGCCTCTCGCCCTGAGCCCTTCGTTCCGCAGCGGCACGTCGTTTTACATCCTGCCTGGCTGCCGGAGCCTTGATTCTGCTGGTTTTGACTTGTGGGGTCACTGGTGTGTCGGCGATCATCTGTCGACACAATGGCGAAGGCACCAATCCGTTTCAGGCTCTATGCCGCTTGCACTTACTAGCAGCCAGCAGACCGAAACAGACAAGCAGGGCTCACTCTCCTACGGTACTAGCTCACTGGCACACTCAATGAACAACACACTGCCCTACTCACTCACTGACACGACCACCCCTCACTTGCCAACAGCAGCTAGCTAGACCCTCTTCATCGTGCAGCAAATGACATGCCATGTAGCTACACCCTACATGTCTACAACCTGTAGCGCGACAAAGAAAAGCTTTAATGAAATCTCGCTTTCAAAGCATTGCCACATGCATCTTGGCTGCCACAGTACACCGAGAAAATACCCATCAGCAGCACCAGATATCGTGCTCGGAAAACGTTAGGTAGGCTTTCTGCGGTTCGCGACCGGAAGGTCCACATTGCAATCGAGAGCAAGATCAGACCGTGCCCGACGTCACCATACATCACGCCAAACAGGAAGGGGAATGTCACGGTTGTCAACAGAGCAGGGTTGGCTTCGCGGTAGTGCGGGACACCATATGTGTCCACCAGTTCTTGGAATATTCCAGTGAATGCATTGGCTTTGTTGTAGGTTGGGGCCGTCTTGCCTGTCTGTCCTCTGTCAGGAAGCAGCATAGCACTTGCGCTTGCGAAATCCATCGCGAAAGTCGGAGCGGTCCTGAGATGAAATGACAAGAAACACTAGCACCAGTCACAACCACTGGCAAAAGTACTATGACTCCCACGGCTGCTACTACCACTGCTGGTCTGAACTAGAACTGCAGCTTTACATCTGTTATTTCTGCTGTTGCTGTGTCTACTGTTGGCAAAAATTTAATAATTGCTACAAGCCTGGCTTAATATGCCGCCTGGCTACGCAGGCACGCATGTTCCGAAGGGACCGAAGCAAGACAGAATGGACCGTCTTAGGGTTTTCGGAATAACTCGCGTTCAGCTGGCACTGGTGCAAGCCCAGTGTCGTAAGCAGAGATCGAATGCTGTCTTCCTCGCAGCATGCATACCAGCAGCTGGCTCGCAGGCTGTTGTTTCCTCAGTCACGTGCCACAGCTGACCCCCGATGCATATCTTGAACCGAAGCCCGTGGTACTTTTACGGAGCCATTAAACCCTTACCCCAAACTCCAAATTTGCATCAGCCTGGCACTGAAGCCTGCCGCATCCACTCCGGCTTATGCTTTAACTGAGCAAAATGTAATCATGGTGATGACTGTAAACGTGGTAAAAGCAGTAATACTACTAATAATAATCATAAGCATAATCATCATAACAATAACAATAAAAATAATGACAATAGTCATAATCATCATAATTACAAATAATAATGACATTCACATAACACGGAAAGCTTACAGATGGTCTCGGGCTCTGGCTTGGAATCGAAAAGCGGAAGGCAACTCTCCACCGCGAAATCCTCCAAGTGAAGCTGAAACGACCCCATGCTTCGCTGGGGGGCTCCCGAGCATGAAACCTTCTACCTCGAAGCTATCTCCGGCGAAGGCGCCCTCGAAGCAGTTCAGAATGGTGTAGATGGCTTTCTCCTTCGCGCAGAAGAACCGCCACCTGACTTGAGGGGTGTTTTGGTGTGCACTCTGGGACTTCTGAAAACGAAACGCTTTTGAGGCAGAACGCACAGCAAGACCCCACCAGCAGCTAGCATCGATAGTTCCGGCGTAAGCCTACCATTGCAGAAGCTCGCCTGGACTGCGTAGTTTTGTGGTAATCGCACGAGTAGCTGACTCGTTTCGCCCCGTCCACACTGAATTGCTCATGGCTACAACGAAGCCCCAAAAATTTGAAAAAGACTAAAGTGACTAAACCCTACTGCCCTAATTAAAGCCCTAGATAGAGCTGTTGCCAGGCATGAAGCCCTAAGCTGCAGCCGAGAGGCTCCTCCAAAAGAGAGCTGCTACCCGGCCGTGGTGCCAGGAGGATGGCCCTGGCCTCTTGGATTTAGGGTTTAGGGTTTAAGGGTTTACGGTTTAGGGGTTTCGACTCACACACTCGCAAGGCAGGCATGGCTCACAGCGTCCTTACGGTTTAGGGGTTTAGGGTCTAGGGATACTGGGAGCTTTCAGGTACTTGGTACAGTTTGCAAGTGTTTGTTATTTCTGAGGTAGCATATGAGATTTCTGGTCAACTATGTCCGGTGCACCAGAACAACCTAGGGCACACAAACTCTCTGAACCGAAGGTGCAGGATGTCCAAGACTCTTGCGTTCTTAGCGGCGCAATCTACGTAATTGCAGGAGCCCGGAGCTCACGAGGATGAGTGGAAATAACGTTCAATTGCGGCCTTGTCTGAGTTTCATGGAGTTTCGGTTAGATAGGCATCTGCAATAGCCGCCACTAGCCTGACAAGAGCCAGGCACACTCGCTTCTGATGGCTCCGTCAACTCTAAGAAGGCAAGGATCACACAATACCGCTTGTTTGCTGTGCCCTTATCTTGCTCGTGGTCATCTGTTTATAGATGTCTGTTTCCTTGAAAAATATTAATAAGACTATAGGAACAACAAATCGAAGCGCAACTTTCAGCTGACGTTAACGGGCGAAGGGTCTTCGGAAGATTTTGGGGGGAGTAGGCAAGGCCTTCTTTTCGCTTGCCGAGCTGGGTCATCTGAGAAGGCCTCATAACAATGATAAAGTAACAGTAGTGACTTCATATAAATATTACGGATAACAATAATAGTAGTAGTTGCAATAATGGTGATACCAATAATAATAGTGGTATCTACAGACGAGCCCAGCTTACATAGAGTCCGAGTGGATGTGCTGCAGATCTTCAAGGCCTGCTGACACATTCTGACCTTTGCATCGGGGCACCTTGGTCAACAGTTCCATTCTTTTCCATTGAAAGTTCTACGAAGGACTTGACGAGACGGGGAAGGGAAAGCAAGGTCTTGGGAAGATGCTGGGGGGGGGCCTGGGACGGCTTGGAGAAAGCCTTAGACCAGGCCCCGCCTCAAACACACCAATGTCACATGTGCCCGACAAGTAGGGGAAATAGCCCCTACATGGAATTTCCACCGAACCAAAAATTAAAAAAACTGGTAACTAGAAGCTCTCGCAACTTCTCCGACTTCGCAGCAGGTGCTCAGCCTCGTCTTGAAGGAACAGCTCGTGCTCTTGCAGTAGGCGGGACTGATCCTCCGGACGAGGGCATTTTGACACTCACACTCGAACAAAGCCAGGGCAGGTCTGCAGATCTAGGAGCTGAGTACCCGAGCCCAAAAAAGGTTAAGCTTTCAATTATGAGAGGATTATATAAGCCCAAAAAAGGTTAGAGGCTACCTACGCAGCCACTAAGATCCAACCCGCAAAAGGAGAAACAGCTGGCAAGGCAGATTCACCTTACAGCGACGCCGTCAAGGCAGGCTCGACAAGGTTGAGGTTTCCAGGGTTTGGTAATGGCAAAAATAATGGGCTCTCAATCCTAGGTCCTAAGAATCCCCTTATCAAGCCCTGACTGCGAAACGTGCTTGAAGTGGAGCATACTGCAATTTGACGCAGGGAGCCAGGGTGGGATCATCTCTAATGGCTCTAATGCCGCGAATAACACCATGCATAACGACATGCAGAAGCATGTTTTCTCACCGCATGATCTTGTCAAGTGGGCCGGGCCAAACAAACGCACGTTCCTGTCAAATGGACACAGAAACCGAAACCGTAATTCAAGCAAAGTCTGTACGTATGATCCCTCCAACTATATATGCTATATATCGTCGTAAGCCCTACGCCAACTCCGCAACTGCCCGACATAGACTTGCAGGCCCGAAAAATGAACACTGTGGCCTGGAGCTGCTCTTGCAGCTGCGCACGACGCTGCTTTGCGGCCGCCATACTGCGAGGCCAGGGATAGAGTGCCAGGGCGAAGCTGTTGCCTCGGTTGAGGCTGATTGTGTTGATTGAGGCTTCTGGGACCTTAGAGGTAATTAATCCACACATACTCTGAGGTGATCCAGGCGATAGACATATTGTATGACAAATACAGCTTTGGACTCATCCTCCAGTGTAATCGCTTCCCCCATAAATTAATGGTTCACCCTAATAACAAAAGCATTTGCCGGGAAATCCCCCTGGCATCATCCCCGCCTTTGGAAAACCTATTTTCAATCAGGCGGATGTACGGGCAAGAGTAAGAGCAGAAGTAACAAGAGTAGGAGCAAGAGCAAGAGCAAAAGCAGGAGCAAAAGCAAGAGAGCCGCAGCAGGAACAAGAGCGAGAGGAGGAGCAAGATCCTCCCCAATGTAACAGCAGAGACAAAACATATCCTTAAAAACAACATGTTTTGCGAATTGTTGTTGACCCCGGTTTAGTACTAGGAAGCGGTTAATTGCCAAAAGCAGCAACAACATCTTTCCGATGAGCATCATCTGAACGATGCACCCTAGTGTATCATCACGATCATCACTCCTCGTTCTTTCACCCGCATCCGGATCACCATCACCATCACCACCAGCGGTCTTCATCACCACGCGTATAGCCGCAACAGCAACAGCACGAGCCGCAGCAGCAGAACTGCCATGTTCTTGTCTTCTTTGGTGGTGGTGCCACAGTATCATTTGTGTGCTACGATGGAATACCTTTACTGCCAGTTGACGACACCGGTTGAGAAAGTCACACAGAGAAGTGGCCTAAACTCGCTTGCGTCTTGCGTCCAGCTGGGACGGTGCCAGTGCTACATGTGTCGTTCAATGGCTTACTGGAGCTAATCAAGCAAACCACTTCCAAACTCCTCGCGTCCCACTTTTTAACTGGATCAAAAACAAGCACCTGCTTTTGATTGAGTGGACTTGTTGGCTCGCAATTTGCGTGGAGCAAACCTTAGGGTGTTTGTCCTGATGCGCTGCATGGCCGAGATTCAAAGTTTGTTGATCTTCTCGCGCATCGCAGATGAAGATCCGGTTCCTCCTTGATCTTGAAAGTAGATGACAAACACCTCAGCTGCCAATACTTTCGTTGAGTTCTGCATTTGGGGTTGCCGGGTGCTGAGTCAAAGACTGCTTGCGAATGCATGCGGCAAGCAAGGAGTTGACGGCAATGCTGGACATTGGCGTGCGACGACATAAAACAGAGGCCTGGGGGTATATTGTGGACTCTAGGAGGTTCATCGTTGTCAAGGCTCTGACTTCGCAACTGGCTGACCCCCAGTCACATCCGGCATGGGCTCTGCAATCGGCTGGAAGTGCGTGAAGGCGTTCCCTCACGAGCAGTCTCTCGGGCTGAATATTCATAGGGGTTTCGGGACTCAGATGTTCAAGCGTTGAGGCCGTTGAAAGATCAGGTCTCTTGTTGCCCCTTCGATGCATCACTCGAGGATAGACGGCTGTCAAGACAAGTGCAGAAGGGTTACTTCATATTTAGGACGTTCAACGAACTTCCGACAGAGTTTGGTTGAAGTATCCTTGAAACACGGTTAAGCCTACCGCAGCCTTTCTAACCGGGCAGCCGGGGCAGCGTACTTATCTATGCCCGGGCAATCCCGGGCAGCGGTTCGTCAGGGCATGGCGTCTTCCAAATTACTACTTGCAGGGATCATGATCTTTGCGGCACGACGAAGCCTTCTCTCTTGTTGAGACATGCTGCCTCTGCTTGCGCGGAAGAGAGCTCGAGCAAACCGGTCCTGCTATGTGGGCTCTAGTCATGACCCTGACTTACGGGCCGGGGCGTGGGGCAGAAGGAAGGCAAGTGGTTGCCCCAGGACATCAAACTGGTTGCGCAGCTGGGAAGGGCCAAGAAAACCCACAGAAGCAGCATGGAGCATGCGTCCACGACTAAGCCTACCTGTCATTCGCCTCCCCCAGTTCCACAGGCAGCCGGAGCCCATGCCGGGGCGTTACAGCTAAACTTACCCCTTTGGGGAGAGACTCTTCGCTTGCCCTTTGTGCAGCGCAGCAATCCTGAAACCCCTAAAACAAAAAAGCAAACCCTAAAACAAAAGTCCTGGATCTCCACAGGCAGTACCCCAGCAACAGCGGACAGCATTGAATCATAGAAGAGCGGACCTCTAGTGGATCGACGAGCCACTGGATGTGTGCTTCAGGGAGTTTGGGAAAAGGGTTAAGCGATCCACGTCACTCAGACCGCGTACGTGCACCTTAAACATTCCTAGGCCCGAAAACTTTTTCACACGGGACTCGACTGCTGCAAACCTGGGGGTTGGGAAGCCCTTTGCGACTTCAAAAACTTTGCGAATTGGTTTCAGGGGTTTCAATCTAGAGGTTACCTACAACATCTTACATGTATTATGTTCAGGACGCCGAACAACCTCTGGACATTGAAGGTTGACAGTTTTGCCTCGGATTTACCGGTGTTGAACGCACCGGAACAGACCTCTACTCGAATGTTATCATTCTTAATTTTGATAATTATGTATTGTCTACTTTCTCTTGCTCTGATTATGATTATTATTGTTCGTAGCAGCAGGACAGTAGTCGTCGTCGTTGTCGTCTTGCTGGTGCTGTTATCGTTATTATTATTCATTCGGCCCAACATACGCCGGACGTGTGGCACCTTGCCACTGAGAATGGCAGCTGGGCAGCTCCAGTTGTTATGCACAGTACCAGAAGCTCACAGGCTGACCCAATAGCATGCGACTTAGGCAATCAAGAAGAGTTTCTGCATGGTATCCATGGCAACGGTGGGATAACTAGATGACGCTGAACCGAAGGCAACCAACTCCATGCAACATACGTCATACATTCAACGAGAGCATCGAAGAAGCGATGACGACCCGATCATTCAAAAAAACCTGCGCCCAAACCTGCCGAGGAGCTGGGGGAGTCATCGCGAAGGCGACGGGATGCCCCAACGACGAAGGGATCCTGCACCCACGGTCTCGACTCTCGCACTACTGCTTTGAGCTGCGGATTTCGGGATTGTTGGTTGTTTAGAGGGCCTTAATAGCTGGAACAGTGTTGTGGGGTAAATCTTACAGTGTGAATAGAACAGGGAGCCCTAAGGCAATAGGACTCGTCATTATGCCCATCGGAACCCAAAGCAGTAAACTCCGTAAGGTGTGACATGTATTATGTATACAGCTTCAGAAGGTCCTCGCCCGGAGATATCCGACCTTCCTCTGCAATGGCCGGCCCTATCTGAGCGGCAGCCTTGCTGCAATCGCACGGCAAGGCAACGCAAAACTGGCTTTCGACTCATCTTACACCAGGATCAATCTTAAAACAAAATCTCGGATGCTCCGGAAGCTTCTGTAGAGGCAAGGGCTATGCCAGGGCCTGTTCGCACAAGAGGCCCCGGTTCAGCCAAGCAACCACCTGCATCACATGGCTTTCTTCCAAAGCCTCGTTTCGCCTCCGAATGAGCTCTGCACCTCCCGGGCTGCTTCTAACTTCGGCGCGAGGGTTTCCGAGAGTCCAGAGTTCAAGGTGAAGCACAAACATCTTGCTGTCGGCGCGGCCCGCTTGATTGCAAAAGATCGTGGGATCGCAGGGCCTTCTAAGGTCGAGGATGGTCGAGGTTTGAAGGCCTTCCTGTCTGTCCAAGGGTGGCGGGAGGGGGAGAATCCACATCACAGGCTCGAAGCTGTTCCAGCCCGAGGTTCTGTTGAGCTGGGTCAGGTGGAGCTACAACCCGGTCTTTGCATAGTAGAGCGCAACATTTGCAGGCAAAGCAACAGGCAACATGCGTTCTCAATGTGCATGGGCACAACTCCAGGCATGTCCATATGTACATGCATACTCAACCATCTATTTAGTTGTCCAGCCATTCGTTACGCTAGGTATGTAGATACTTGTGGAATGAGAGGCTGTTTGCATGCTGAGGCACTGCTGGCTTTCAAGCCGGCGAAAGAGCTGTACACCTGAGCAATGTTCACCTCGACATGTTCCAGCTTGTACTCATGGGAGTGCTCCAGGAATGAATCGATTCCGAACTTGCTGATGTGTACACCTGCACAGCTGGACAACGTCAATAGTTTTGTGCTGTAGGTGCTGCACAGAAAGGTCTTGGGCTTAGAGGTCAATTCAGCAAGAGTAGGACGAACTCGGTACCGACATTCAGCCACCGGCAGCATCAGGACTAATCAACTAATCTTGTTCACTCATCTTCCCTGAAGACCTGTTTTCAAAGAGGCTGTGAACTCTACTCCGACGAAACACCGAAGGCTCCGCTGGAATCACTACCCGAAGAGCCTATGCGCACGCTCAACGACATGACATAACCTGGGTTCTGGCTTTGGGTTTGAGCCCTTAAGCCTCTAGTCGGAGAGGGGAAATGCACGGTAATGCCCGCCTCTGATATTAAATTGAAAGGATCAGAATTTGAGCAGAACCCTCAATGAAGAAAAAAGTTGTTGATCACCAGGGGTTACACAAAGTAAAAGCCTGCAATTCGTCGAAGCTCTTCTTCGACGAAGCGCAATTTGCGTTCCTCGGATGAGTGCCGGTGAATTGGCAAGGTGCTCCAGGCAGGAATCGTTAACGAATTGGCTGCGCTTGCCATCAAGTCAAGTGTCAGTGTATCATGCTGTTCGTGAATGCGTGATATAAACATGGTGGTGATATGTGTATGTTGACGGAAGTGGAGGCATGCTGCTTCGCTTACTCGCCAATTGGGCAATCTTCTAAAACAGCTGAGGCGCCATCTCGTCAATCCTTTGAATGTGGCCTTTGTATGGCCTGTGCAAGCTCTTCAGATTCATGTCCTTGCAAGCTTGCCAGGTTTCGGGACCCCAACACATCCACAGCGAAAGAAACAAAGCATCCATCACAAGTGACGTCCTCAATCTGGATCTTGCAGCGCGCGCCGATCCTCCGACCCAAGGGGGAAAACCAAGTACAGCAGAGTCCCTAAACCCGAAACCCTGAAGCCTCAAGACCCCGAAAGCCCGAAAATCCTACAACCCCGGAAACCTAAACCCCGAAACACGGACAAAACTTGAACCCGAAACCCCTAAAATCCGCGAACTCGAGACATGAAGTGAGCAGCAGGTCTATCAAGTCCCGTGCTCTGGCTGCCGGCAGAACAAGGGTTCCATGCTGCATTCGCTCTGAGCGAAGGAGACCCATGGCGTAAGGAAGTTTGGGTTTCGGGTTCAGGGTTCCTTTAACTAAATATATATATATATACATATATTAATTAGGGTTTCGGGTTCAGAGCTTTAGCTTAGGTCGGCTTTGGGCTTCGGGTTTGGGGTTCTCGGACGCTTCATGTTAGATCATGGTTTATGCGTGACTGTGCTCTTCATGTTATCATCGCCAATGTTGCTCTATGTATGCATGTGGAGATAGTCCCAGGTTGGATTTTTCCACATGCCACATGCCTCTGGCATTATGTGCGAATTCTGTCAAGGCCCCGAAGCCGGAAGAGGCAGCAGAACGCAGAGATCAAGCAAGTGCTGCTTCATTTCACGGCTTCGCTGAATAGGTCGTGCTGGAGGGATCCTGCCAATGTCGCAAGTCGCACGGTTTCGTCGTTCACTCTCGCACAAGCAGGCAATGGGCAATGCTCCTCCCCGGTTTCGACTCACACACTCGCTCACGCAGGCATCTCCCACGGTTTAGGGTTGCAGCCAGGGTTTGGGACTTAATTCCGGTATTGGGCTCCATTCGGAATTATGGTTTAGGGAGGTTCCGATCATTGCACAGGTGGACGGACAGGCTTCCGCTGCCTTGCACACCGGGCTGATTATCTCCTAGGGGTTAGGTTCGTTTCGGAGTTTTGCAACCCAGACTCAGCAAGATTTGGGGTTTTGGACACTCACATTCGGACAAGCCAGGCGGACAGGTGAAACAAGTTGGAGGACTGTCATCTTTAAGACGGCTAGAAGAATTCTGAAACATGCTTGCGCTTAAGGCCCTCATTCTAAGGGGGTACCAACCAGACAGGTACCCAACGGAAAGCAACGGGAACCCAGAACAACCTCCCGCCTCCTTGCAGGCTCAATCTTGCCCTGAACCCTTTTGCCAGAAACCCAAACAGAATTTACACTCCAAGCCTGAAAGCATCTTACAAGTCAAAAGCCCTCCTCATCCCCTCAACAAAAAAAGCAAACAGAGAAACCGGCGATCACTGAGGCACCAGCCCTGCTAAATCCACTCCTGGTTCCACCGGATCTTCCACCTGCAAACATATCTATGGTTGCGTTGGGGTCTGGGGTGTAGTGTAGGGTTTTGTTGCCTCCCGCCTACGATGCAGTGTAGGTTTCAGGGCTTTTGGTTTGTGAGTCTTTTTGTTGAGGGGGTGCAGGGTTTGGGGGGGGGGGGGGNNGGGGGGGGCGGTAGAGTTTCAGGATTTCGCACTTTGGGCTTGCACTCTCACATTTGAGAGTTGAGTTTGTGTTCAGTCCAGTTTTGCGTAATGCCTTACTGAGCTTCAGGTGCCGCATGCGTTTCAAGCCTTCAGCCCCTAGTCCATTAAACACCTTCAACCTTAGACCCTCAACCAGGGTTTTGCTAGAAAACCCAAGTTTTCCTACTAGGTTTTTACAGGACAGCCAAAAACTGCTGCCAGCTAGAAACTCCCCTCGCGGTTTGGCTCTGACAGGACTCACGCTTCGAATGACCAGCTCAAACTGTTCGTGGGCTGGTAGCCACCAACATTCGCGAAATATGACTCGGAAAAACTGAACGTATCTGCACATACACACTTACATACACATAGAGACATAGATGCCTGTGGCATGGGTCTACGCTTACGCAAAGGCACATCTTAACAACAGTTATGTAAAGGATCATAACACATGTCAATACAGATGTGTATGCATGTGTGCATTATATGCACAGCTATTTCTACCCACGTGTTCTGCTGCAGGAGTATAATGACTATATACTATCTATCTATCTATCTACCTACCTATCTATCTATCTATCTATCTATCTATGTATATATATATGTGTGTG